ACTGACTGACTGACTGACTGACTGACTGACTGACTGACTGACTGACTGACTGACTGACTGACTGACTGACTGACTGACTGACTGACTGACTGACTGACTGACTCAGCCGCCTCTCCGATAGCGGACGGACGGACGGAACCAATTCATTTTTGCATATGGCTCAGTTTTGACTTTTTTCAATGCGTATTCTCCATGTTCGTATACACATCCAAAACTCCTCTGCCGAAGGTCCAACACATTACCATACAAAACCAGCCAGTAGACTCGACGGGTTCCTAATCCATCTTGTCTTTCTAGGCATCCAATCCCCACCGATCTAAACACTCTTTGTTCCGGCCTGCAAACCTTTCAAACTCCATGAGAAAAGATTGTGCGGGTTCAGAACAAGAAAGGGTACTCCCAAAGGATTAGAAGGCTCATTCTAATCTCTGTTAGGGTTAGGGCTAGGGTGTAATGCGCCAACATCTCCATCGCCGGGCGTCGACCTTTCGATCCTTCCCATTTCCTCCATCTGTTGTTCATATCAATCACTGGCTGACTGACTTTCAGATTCCTTGCCTCCGTATTAGAACCCCTGCACAACAAATGTCTCAATCCGAACTCGTCTGAGATATCAATTCGTGGCTCAAAAAGGAACCACTTTTCTGCTCTCACTTGCCTCAATCTAGCGTAAAAGTCCTTGTTGTAATCCCAAATCTTTTGCTGCTTCCCGACTCTTCCCTGGAACACAAACCCGTTCTGTCTATTGCGCCTTATCAAAGAGCGGCACAGTCGTCCATCCACCTTCCCTCAGTGATCCCACTTTTGGTTACCCTTGCCATTGGCAATGCTCACCAGTTTCTCCCTTGAGTCTTGGGGGTGATCCAAATCCAGTGCTCCAACATCGATAAATTTCAGAAGTCCAGAAATATCTGTCTTCACAATTTCTTCCCCACGAAGCCCCAACAGAAAACCGATCATCAGGACTCCAGCAAACTCCACGATCCCGTCTCTCTCCACATGGTTTCCGATAGCTCCATTCTAATCCCCTTCTAGGTGTTTCAGTAACTCCACAAAGATTTTTCTTGATAGTGCGTAGTCCTGCACTACCTTATCTCCCATTCTCTTGTGACATCCGAGTATGAATCTGCCAAACCAATAACCATAGGTGGGACATGTGGTCGTGTAAAACTTGTTGGATTCATAGGCCATGGAACTGATGTGCTCAACACTCTTTGAGGCATGATAGGCATTTGAGTAGGCTGATCGGAACCTCGGAGCCGTAGCAAACTGAATGATGGCCTTGTTCCTACCTGGGTCCAAGGATCTTCTTAACAGGCAGGCCGCAGGTCCCATCCCAAACGTGTCCTCTAGAGGGAATGGTCCCATCACTGGCGTCATGCTTGGTATACCAAACATCTCCGTCCCAACCTTCTCCAGCTTCCTGACCTGTGACAAATTTGCCCTGACAGTCACGTACTTGTATCACGTGACCAACACACATTTACATTCGCGAGTCGGATGTCATGTAAAAACCTTAGGTGCTTCTCATCGCCCATGTCCGGATTTTGTTTCATTACATTTCTGAAATGACAAATGTTGCATTGAAAGGGGGTCATGAGAAATTCGCCAGCCCGAGCCAACCAAAATCTCTCCTCGTCCCCATCTATCGCCACCTCAAAACCATCCTCATCCGTGGCTCTTCTTATGGGATAAGGACTTCCAGCTGGGACGGAGTAACATGTTGGACACCACACTCCGGCAGGCTGGAAAATTTCCACATGCGAAACAAAAGTTCCCGTAGAAATTCCCCTCTCCGTTGGTCACCATTTTCCCGCACTGTGCGCAATCCCCTATCCAGAGATGCCAAAAAATTGGTTCCTCGAAGACTCCATGGACTGTGAGGGATGAGAGGAAGATAGACAAACATGGTTAGTGGATCAAACTCCTGGTGGCCCCAGATACTGGAGCCCAACGGGATGGTGGAGTTGGATTTCGGTTCTGGCGGACATCAGACAAGCGACAGGCTTATCGTCGTCCAAACCGATTGACAACTTTGTGGCCCATAAAGCCATCATTGCCAACCAGCCGTGCCAATATGCGACCTATCAAGTTGTCATGCAGAGGCACTGACCATAGCGATCTCCGATCCGTCTAATAGGAAATAATCATCTCTACAGGAAATAACTATTCTAAAAGACTTGTTATCTACATGGAATGGGCAAAGCAAAAGCCTTGCACAAAAACTCAAATTTCCCAAAACTTTACTGGATGTTATGCAATCCAGAAAGGCCGGTACAAAACCCACGTACCGAACTCCCGCAGGATTCAGTATGGGATTTTCGTGGCGCTCAGACGTTTGATAGTCCAAGCCCACAATTCCATGTTTTCAGATTCCCTGCAAAAACCGACTCATAGGAATCCCCCGAATAAACGGACCAAACGGACATTTGTCCGTCTGTCCGATCGGACGTGTCGAACTGCTTCCATCAAGGAGTTTCCAATGAATGGTCTCCAAGAGAGCAATTTCAACAAAAGTGAGTTCAACGATTTTCCCTTGGAAAATCCCTTGTTTACAGAACTCGATTTGACTTCTACGACAATTCTGTGTTGAATGCAGTACTTTGGGACATCTTGCATTATTCCCTACTGCATCGTACACAACATCAATATTCCACTTGTACAGGATCTTTTCCTGTTTGTGTGGATACAGATTGTCCGACAGACTCGCGTCCGGCATACTTGCGTCGAATCCCGACATCGCGCACGATCAAATTCCGATCGCACATGTCAAAAACCTCGTACTTGAATAGTTTCTTTTGGAACGTAAAAACTCATATTTCGTCATATCCCAACACACTCCTGCCATTGTGACAATCACCATTGGCAGCAATGGGACATGCTCTCATTCACTGTTTATTTTTGTTTTGTATTTTCATTTTGAACATATACATACTTGTCTGACCTAGTCCTGTGTTGGAAATCGGTTCTGGCGGACATGATCAGACTGCTTGTCTTTGTCCAAACCCATTGACAACGTTGTGGCCCATGAAGCCATAATTGCCAACCAGCCGTGCCAGCATGCGACCCATCAAGTCGTCATGCATAGGCACTAACCATAGCGATCTCCAATCCGTCTAACAGGAAATAATCATCTCTACAGGAAATAACTATTCTAAAAGACTTGTTATCTACATGGAATGGGCAAAGCAAAAGCCTTGCACGAAAACTCAAATTTCCCAAAACTTTACTGGATGTTATGCAATCCAGAAAGGCCGGTACAAAAACCCACGTACAGAACTCCCGCAGGATTCAGTATGGGATTTTCGTGGCGCTCAGACGTTTGATAGTCCAAGCCCACAATTCCATGTTTTCAGATTCCCTGCAAAAACCGACTCATAGGAATCCCCCGAATAAACGGACCAAACGGACATTTGTCCGTCTGTCCGATCGGACGTGTCGAACTGCTTCCATCAAGGAGTTTCCAATGAATGGTCTCCAAGAGAGCAATTTCAACAAAAGTGAGTTCAACGATTTTCCCTTGGAAAATCCCTTGTTTACAGAACTCGATTTGACTTCTACGACAATTCTGTGTTGAATGCAGTACTTTGGGACATCTTGCATTATTCCCTACTGCATCGTACACAACATCAATATTCCACTTGTACAGGATCTTTTCCTGTTTGTGTGGATACAGATTGTCCGACAGACTCGCGTCCGGCATACTTGCGTCGAATCCCGACATCGCGCACGATCAAATTCCGATCGCACATGTCAAAAACCTCGTACTTGAATAGTTTCTTTTGGAACGTAAAAACTCATATTTCGTCATATCCCAACACACTCCTGCCATTGTGACAATCACCATTGGCAGCAATGGGACATGCTCTCATTCACTGTTTATTTTTGTTTTGTATTTTCATTTTGAACATATACATACTTGTCTGACCTAGTCCTGTGTTGGAAATCGGTTCTGGCGGACATGATCAGACTGCTTGTCTTTGTCCAAACCCATTGACAACGTTGTGGCCCATGAAGCCATAATTGCCAACCAGCCGTGCCAGCATGCGACCCATCAAGTCGTCATGCATAGGCACTAACCATAGCGATCTCCAATCCGTCTAACAGGAAATAATCATCTCTACAGGAAATAACTATTCTAAAAGACTTGTTATCTACATGGAATGGGCAAAGCAAAAGCCTTGCACGAAAACTCAAATTTCCCAAAACTTTACTGGATGTTATGCAATCCAGAAAGGCCGGTACAAAAACCCACGTACAGAACTCCCGCAGGATTCAGTATGGGATTTTCGTGGCGCTCAGACGTTTGATAGTCCAAGCCCACAATTCCATGTTTTCAGATTCCCTGCAAAAACCGACTCATAGGAATCCCCCGAATAAAACGGACCAAACGGACATTTGTCCGTCTGTCCGATCGGACGTGTCGAACTGCTTCCATCAAGGAGTTTCCAATGAATGGTCTCCAAGAGAGCAATTTCAACATGTAGATAAAGTTGGAAATCGGTTCTGGCGGACATCAGACTGCTTGTCTTCGTCCAAACCGATTGACAACGTTGTGGCCCATCAAGCCATGATTGCCAACCAGCCGTGCCAGCATGCGACCCATCATGCAGAGGCACCGTCCATAGCGATCTCCGATCCGCCTAATAGGAAATAATCATCTCTACAGGAAATAACTATTCTAAAAGACTTGTTATCTACATGGAATGGGCAAAGCAAAAGCCTTGCACGAAAACTCAAATTTCCCAAAACTTTACTGAACTCCCGCAGGATTCAGTATGGGATTTTCGTGGCGCTCAGACATTTGATAGTCCAAGCACACAATTCCATGTTTTCAGATTCCCTGCAAAAACCGACTCATAGGAATCCCCCGAATAAAACGGACCAAACGGACATTTGTCCGTCTGTCCGATCGGACGTGTCGAACTGCTTCCATCAAGGAGTTTCCAATGAATGGTCTCCAAGAGAGCAATTTCAACATGTAGATAAAGTTGGAAATCGGTTCTGGCGGACATCAGACTGCTTGTCTTCGTCCAAACCGATTGACAACGTTGTGGCCCATCAAGCCATGATTGCCAACCAGCCGTGCCAGCATGCGACCCATCATGCAGAGGCACCGTCCATAGCGATCTCCGATCCGCCTAATAGGAAATAATCATCTCTACAGGAAATAACTATTCTAAAAGACTTGTTATCTACATGGAATGGGCAAAGCAAAAGCCTTGCACGAAAACTCAAATTTCCCAAAACTTTACTGAACTCCCGCAGGATTCAGTATGGGATTTTCGTGGCGCTCAGACATTTGATAGTCCAAGCACACAATTCCATGTTTTCAGATTCCCTGCAAAAACCGACTCATAGGAATCCCCCGAATAAAACGGACCAAACGGACATTTGTCCGTCTGTCCGATCGGACGTGTCGAACTGCTTCCATCAAGGAGTTTCCAATGAATGGTCTCCAAGAGAGCAATTTCAACATGTAGATAAAGTTGGAAATCGGTTCTGGCGGACATCAGACTGCTTGTCTTCGTCCAAACCGATTGACAACGTTGTGGCCCATCAAGCCATGATTGCCAACCAGCCGTGCCAGCATGCGACCCATCATGCAGAGGCACCGTCCATAGCGATCTCCGATCCGCCTAATAGGAAATAATCATCTCTACAGGAAATAACTATTCTAAAAGACTTGTTATCTACATGGAATGGGCAAAGCAAAAGCCTTGCACGAAAACTCAAATTTCCCAAAACTTTACTGAACTCCCGCAGGATTCAGTATGGGATTTTCGTGGCGCTCAGACATTTGATAGTCCAAGCACACAATTCCATGTTTTCAGATTCCCTGCAAAAACCGACTCATAGGAATCCCCCGAATAAAACGGACCAAACGGACATTTGTCCGTCTGTCCGATCGGACGTGTCGAACTGCTTCCATCAAGGAGTTTCCAATGAATGGTCTCCAAGAGAGCAATTTCAACATGTAGATAAAGTTGGAAATCGGTTCTGGCGGACATCAGACTGCTTGTCTTCGTCCAAACCGATTGACAACGTTGTGGCCCATCAAGCCATGATTGCCAACCAGCCGTGCCAGCATGCGACCCATCATGCAGAGGCACCGTCCATAGCGATCTCCGATCCGCCTAATAGGAAATAATCATCTCTACAGGAAATAACTATTCTAAAAGACTTGTTATCTACATGGAATGGGCAAAGCAAAAGCCTTGCACGAAAACTCAAATTTCCCAAAACTTTACTGAACTCCCGCAGGATTCAGTATGGGATTTTCGTGGCGCTCAGACATTTGATAGTCCAAGCACACAATTCCATGTTTTCAGATTCCCTGCAAAAACCGACTCATAGGAATCCCCCGAATAAAACGGACCAAACGGACATTTGTCCGT